CAACATTGTTTTGTTCAGCTACTATATCAGATGCCATAGTTCTGGAGACACATTGACAAACAAAAACTAACCCAGTCCTTACTCACTTGGAGCTTACAGTCTAGTGGGATGGGATAATGGAAAGAGAACTGAAATTGGAGTTGAGAATGTCCTAGTTCTTATCAAGCTGTGCTGTACATTAGCTAAATGTGACCTTGGGCAAGCCCCTTCATCTCCCTGGGTTTTAGATAATTTTGTTAAGTAATCTCCTTAGAGAATTATATTAAATAAATAATCTACAAGGTCTCCTAGTCTTAAAAATGTTTAACAATATTTTATATACTACTATCAGGAGGTAATTCACCATCTCTTGTCAAAAATAGGATGACCTGGGACCACCTTCATTTTCCCAAAGTAAAGTTTCTTTTTGCCTTTTCGGTATGAAATTCTTGCACCAGCACAAAGTGATAGCCAGCATGCTATCGTCCAGCATAACGTGTTTGTCACTACTTTGCCCAAGGAAAATGTTAGTAGCATTTCTTTAGTGAAATCTTACTTCTTCCTCTGATGTAGATGCAGTTGTCACAGAAGGTGGAGAGAATTTTAGCGTTGGACAGAGACAGCTGTTTTGCCTTGCTAGGGCCTTTGTCCGCAAGAGCAGCATTCTCATTATGGATGAAGCCACAGCTTCCATCGACATGGCCACAGTGAGTGCATTATCTAAGCTTTTGAAATGGATACATTGGGGAAATATGCATGAACATTACAATTTATTTTATCCTGATTGGATTCAGAATCCTCACTGCAATTGATTTGAGTGACTTCTCAATCATCTACTTGATCAACTGATGATAGCACACTGAGAATTACAGTAAATGAGACATAACACATGCTTTCAATGAGTTCCTATTACCAATGAACATACAATAAATTTGTCATCACTTTTTGATAAATTTTCAAAAAAGTAAAATTCCAGGGCTCAGTCGATGAGAGTATTTACTGTATGCAAATTTTATTACATGGAAGTTCTAAGATGCAGTATGCAAATCTCTATTTAATAGAATCTATTCAAAAAAGTAAAATTCCAGGGCTCAGTCGATGAGAGTATTTACTGTATGCAAATTTTATTCCATGGAAGTTCTAAGATGCAGTATGCAAATCTCTATTTAATAGAATCTATCGATAACTAAAACCATCTATTGTTTTCTAAAGCAATTTGAATAAGAAGGATTCACTAGATTAATAATCGCTAGAATTAATAATGGTTAATGGTAAAAAGCCAGAAACTTTGCCTTTTGAAAGAAATTATTTAAAAGTATCAAATATGTCCAGGAAAGATCTGTCTGGAAAGTTGTGACTGAGTGGGGAAAATTCACATTAAACTACAAACTGTGTATGAACTAGCAATTAATATTGTTCTTTTAAAAGATAACTTGGTATTAAAAGTTTGGCATCAGAAAGGACAAACATTTTTTTAAAAAGGACAAAAATAAAAAACACCCACAACCTCATGTTATTTTCTTGTTGCATGCTTTAGATTGAGTAAAGCTACCTAAAAAAGTGAAACAATTGCAAGATTGTTATGAGCCAATTCGATATGGAGATACTAATTTGACATTTTTTTCCATTAAGACCATTCAAAGTACCTATACAAAATTATACAGCTTTCTCAAAGTTAACGTATTTTAAAGCAATAAAATAGTCTCGAATAAAACCATTTCAGTAAGTAAGCATAAGTACATAAAAATTCATTTTAATTACTAAAGTTTTACAATATTGGGGATTATTATAAGGATAATACTGCCTCAACAGAGAGGGGAAAGAGATGGAGAAGGAGCCACTTAGTGGGAAGGAAAAAATCCATCACTTTAAGACTTAAGTAATCAAACTCTCCTCTAGGAGTGAGGTGGAATCTTTACCCAGGACATCTTTTAAAATATAATGATAACAGCTGTTTGCTGTGAGAATAAAATTGATTCCTGCCTGGAATGTTCTTCCGTGGGTCAAAATCCAAATTTTGGGCCTGGATTTCAGTTTTTCCTTTTTCTGACTCAAAGTATTTTGTTAGTTTTGAATACCTGCTGTTTGTGGTATAGCTCAAGTGAGAGTTTTGATGCCCATTTGATTTCATTTTCCTCTTTGGGTTCCCTGGCAATAAACCTACCAGTCACTTCAGCTGATCACTGTGTTTTATTGGCATTTTAAAGACACGTACAGAAGCCATCATGAGCCTGCTGCTGGAAGCTGCTCCCTCTTGCAACTTCCATAGAATGCTCAAGAGTGAGAGTGCTCAGAAGGGATTGGACATGGTAGAACTTTGCTCTTGGGGTAAAATATTATGGCAAGAAAAAGTAGTCCAGAGAAAATTTACACTTTGTGTATTTTTTGACAGGAAAACATTTTGCAGAAAGTGGTAATGACAGCCTTTGCAGACCGCACCGTTGTTACAATAGCTGTAAGTATGGGAGGTGGCGTTGATTTACTCCTCTGGTTTTTGTTCTAAGATTCTACAGTCGTTATGTTTGAGCAATTAAAATATACTTATGTTGGATTATGTATTTCTCTGCTTATGTGTCTGTATCTGCACAAAAAAGAAAAAGAGTACAGCTGTATTTTGAAAGCATTCTTCTTTTCCAAACTGTCTGCTCTACCTAACTCCCCTAAGTTACAACGATGGAGCATCTTAAATCTAAGGATTCCAGCAGGTCATTGCCTGTGCTTGTTTCCCAGATGCTGATGGTCGTTCATGGGGAATAATTCTCTTTTCTATAATCTGATGGTCTGATGAGCAGTTTCAGAAGCAAACTTCCCAAATTTGATTGACAATTCTGTTACTACTTATACTTAATTTCCATGTTTCTATTTATTTACTGGTTTACAAAAAGAAGGCGATGAGATACCTCACAGCAGGGCAGGCAGTTTCTCTGTTTTAGACAGCACCAATCAAAGAGAATAAAATTCATGTTGTCGCTTACTTAAAGTAGGCCAGAGTCTTCTGTCTTTCCCTCTTCGTGGACGGTAAGATTCTTGGTCACATTTAGGCTTACTGCTTAACAAAAACTATTTTTAAATGAGTTCCTTGGACACTTTCCCTTCTGCTGATTCTCTTCTCTTCTCTCCATTTTTCTCTCCAGCACCGTGTCTCTTCCATTATGGATGCAGGCCTTGTTTTAGTCTTTTCTGAGGGTATTTTAGTGGAGTGTGATACTGTTCCAAACTTGCTCGCCCACAAGAATGGCCTCTTTTCCACTTTGGTGATGACCAACAAGTAGACCGTCATGATCTACTCTGCCAAGTGTCCCATCCTCTGGTAGTTATCTTAGTGGTATTTCCTCAGTAAGGCAAGGCTCATGCTGTGATTAAAGGGGAGGGCTGGGGTGAGAGAACTAACTATAGGATATTGTTACACAAATCAGCACAACCAAGGCCTTCAGTTATGCTCAGTACTGAATGAGGCACTTGTATGTGTTTTCAAATATGTGCACCCCAGGGAGTGTATTTACAAAACCTGAAAACCAGGTTTACCTCTGTCCTCAGGACTGATTTCACTGTTTCTTGGGCATATTTTGTTGGCATCCTTAAAAATACCATACGCATTTCTTACCTGCCCTGAAGAATGCATTGCTTAATTTAAATAATTACATTTAACCGTTGAGCAGTGGGACTTGTATATGCAGTGCTTGCTACGCTTCCATTTTTGTGAATGATGCATGGGAGAAACAGCACCCTTTGCAGTGCACCTTTTTTTCAAAATAGCAGGAAATGACTCCCCGTCTGATCCCCTTTCTGCAAACTGTGCCTAAATCAATAAAAACCTACTTTCTCTCATTTTCCCAATGAACTCTATGGTTCCTCTGGCCTGGAAGAGAGTCACTGATTAACTCATCCACACCAAGGTGTGAATGATTTAAGGAGTGAAAGAATTGGCCGACTTGAAACACAGTCCTCTAATATTTTCAAAGATTCTGTCACTGGAGAAAGTAGGGACATATTTGGGGAGAGAAAGAACTTCCTGTTGCCCCTAAACGGTTGGGGGGAGAAGGAGAAAGCAGACCCTTGCCTACTCAAAAGACTGATTTTCTTTTCCTCTGCATGAAGCACGGTGGTGTTAGGTGGTCCCATTTATCTACATCTGGAAGATTAGTTGAGCGTAATTTGTATTTCTAACCAAAAAGTTAAATTCTCTTAGCTGATTTCTGTTCTCCTGTATTCACTGAATACTTTCCCACAGATTTAAGTATTTTTCACCCATTCATTCCAAGACCACTAGTGGGAAAGTGGCCACTAGGCTACCTGGAGTTCCCCCCCCACACACACAAAGATGTCAGGGAGGAAGAATCACTGTAGGAGTCTTCTAAGGACTCCTCACAACAGGCTCGTAACAGAGACAGCACCAGCACACTCGTGCCAGACTTCTGGGAGACTCATCCTCAGCT